TCTGTCATTTTAGTTCGGAGGACAGAGTAAGAGCAATACAAATGCTAATTTAAGATGGTTTAAACCATATTGAAACTAACATATAAAACCTACAGAAAACAAGCATTTATTTAACTGGACTTTGGACTCAAATGTCTTAAGATGCAATCCTTGTAACAACTTCCTCATGTGACAACTAGCCCGAGTGTTCGCTCATATATATTACCATTCAATAACTGTTCATAACAGAATTTAAGAATGACTGACAGGATGATTATATGAAACACCAATGCTTCTCAGATGTCATGAGTGTGAGGAATATGGCTTACCAGCATCACAGAGAAGAGATGTCACAGCGTGTCTCAGTGTCCAGACTCCTCCAGAACAGCGCGCTCTGTGCTGGAACAGCATGCGGCGGAGAGTGAGCGGAGAGGCGGTGAGCCACTATGTGTTTCTCTCCCGGCGAAACCGGATCCTCCGGTCCACCCCACCCCAGAGCTGCCTCCGCCTCCAGCGCGCACATAAAGGCTGCGTTGTTACCTGCAGCCGAGTCCGACACGCTCCAGACGCCCCGCACGCTTCTCTGGCAGGAGAAACTTATTTATCTGCAGGATTTGTTCCGTCGAGCGACAGTTTCTATGGTTTATTAATTTCTACCTTGCACTCTTTTAATGCCCCTGTTTATAAAGTAAGCCCAAATAGCCCACAAATAGATGGCAGCCTTTGCTGGTTTTCAGTGATGTGATGTTTTTATACAACAGTTCTATAAAAAGTAAGTAGTAGTCTGTTAATGAACTCATTTTCCACGAAATGGTGAAGTTAGCTGGTATATTTCTTCGCCACAAATGGAAAAAACTGAGGCGTCAATTTTTGCGTGTCATCAAGCAAGAAAGCTGGACTGGAACAGCATGGATTACTGAAGGTACTCAGGGAATTTTGCGTGAAGGCAAAAGATTTTCTCGCAGATTTCGCAAGGAGTTCGTGTTTTCTCGCAAATCTGCTGTGCGAACAGAAAGCTGCTTTGTTTGAAATACGTGAATTTTATGTGAGCTACACTACCCACTACAAACATGGATTTTTTTGCCTGCAAATTTTACCGAAATTTCGCTAATGTTAGGCCTACCATATTTTAAAGGGATAGTCCACCCAGAAATTAAAATTGTCTCATCATTTACTTTCCCTCATGCCATTCCAGATATGACTTCTTCAGACAAACTATTAAATAAATAATCTATCTCTGTGAGTCCATATAATGTAACATTTACAAGAAAATAATGATCTTTAAAAAAGCATCATATGACCCCTTTAAGCACGCTGTGAAAAGTGATGGCTCTCTGAGCTTCCACATCATTCCTTGTGTAAGTTTCACAACATGGTTACGTCACACTTCACAATGTGCTGATATTGACAGTGTGCTAACAGCTGGCCAGAAGCGATGATATATAGTTTAAAAAGTTTAAAATATTAGTGTTTTTCTCATACACACCTATCATTTAACTTCAGAAGACACTGATTCATCAGCTGGAGTTGTATTGGTTACCGTCATGTTCGTTTTGCATGGTTTTTGAAGCATCAACTTTGACGGACCCATCCACTTGCAATGTGGCTCATATTTTTCAAAAAATTGCCATTTGTGTTCCACAGAAGAGAGAAAGCCATATACATTTGGGAGGGCATGAGTGAGTAAATGATGAGAGAAATTTCATTTTTGGGTGGAGTATCCGTTTAAGAAAGTTCTGTAATCACTCCACTCCCTATCCACTCCTGGTTTTACATTAAATTAATCCACTATTTACTAAATGATTCAAGCATCCTTATTCTATCAAGTAGCCTACTAAGTAACAGATTTTTTCACAGTAACATATTCACCGAGTTTGGGTGTCTGGACTGCTCTGTATGCGCCCTATTCATACCGGTTAACGAACAGTTGAGGCTATTCATGCCATACTGTTGAGGTCTATTTTGGGTTTTACCCCATTTGGATCAAGATGGTAGTGCTTTCTTGGACTAATCTGTAGATAGACCTATATTTATAAAGCAAATAGTTGGCAGCAAAGTTTGTATGACCTTTGGTTTTGTAAATGCTACTCTGATTAAACTGGAAACAATGTGTAGAACAGCAATGAAAAGTTCTTTCATTCACATTTCCCCCCCCAATCCAATAGCTAAACAGCGCCCCCTACTGGCCAGCAAAAGTGACACATCCTTAAATATTTTCATCCATAAACGTTTACATGCCATTAATAAACTTTTAAGGAGTTTTGAGTAACATTAAGTATGCAAAAATAACCACATTTTATTTCAAATAACTTTAAATAAAACAGAAATAAGTGTGTTTTAGGATATATATATTTGCCTTAAAAACCAGCAAAAATACACTGTAAACATTTATGTGGTCTACTTGTTTGGGTTAGCTGGTTGCTGTAATGGGAGTTTCTGCCCTTTCAGTTCGAATATTACTTGATTGACATTTTTGTCACGCACCCAGTAATATACCACCAACAAACAACAAAAGTATACATGCTCATTATGGTGTACAAATCAGCTGCACAAGCTTTTCCCATCCTTGAGATACAGAGGGAACTCAAACCGAGGCTGAAAAAAATGTTGACAGGCTGTTAAGCGTTTCAAAGGTCAACCACAGAATTGGCTAATTTATGTTACTTGATCTCCAGCCAGTGTGTTTGTAACAAAATGTGAGCTATGGGAGCCGCAGCATTTTCAGAGAGGGGAACACTGGTTGGTTCATTTGGTTAGTGTTGTGACTTGGTAACAAGCATGCTTAAACAGGGAACCAGGGGCCACTTTAGCCTGTATGAGAAATGTACAATGTTGGATCCCATGGACCTTGTATGGATGTAAGGACAAAAACAGACATTTTTCAAAGCATTTTCTTTGTGTTCTGTGGAATAAAAAATGCATACAGGTTTGGAACAAACACAGATGTGCTCTAAATTAAATGAAGAATGTCTGTGGACTATTTTTTACGTCATACCACAAATGTTACTTTGGATTTAAGCCATTTTCTCTCTATATTTGGTGCTTTGGGTCATCGTCCTGCAGGCCTCTATACGTCATTTCTCCTAAAATTACACATTTTTGGTTGCCCAATTCTTTAGGACAGCCTGATCTCAGGAGTGTCTGTTCTGTTTAATGTATTTGCCAATCCCTATCTATCTATCTATCTATCTATCTATCTATCTATCTATCTATCTATCT